TTGTCTAAGGCAGTACGCAGAGAACTAGAAACCCCATCAACAAAATCATCAACCTGTGATGGGGAATAAGCTATGCTTTTGCACTGCTCAGCGACACAGAGGAGAGAAAGTGAAGCAGATTCTTTAAAATGTATAACTGCACTATCAGATAATGATCTACTAAAATGTAAACTTCTTTTGGGGAGGAGAACTCTGTTAGAGTAATCCTGAAGGTTATTAGAAAGTGGTCAGAGAGGACAGGGTTGTGAGAAAATACTGTTATTTCTTCACATTCTTTGTCAGCACAAGTTCCAAAGTATGAAGATGAGAATGTGTGGGGCTATTCATATTTTGAACAAAGCCAATAGTGTCTAAGATAGCATTAAAGGCTGCTCTTATGTTCATATGTGCTTGAGAATGGCTTTGTTACCATTCAAACCCAGGTTTAAACCTTTGCAGGTCAGCCTAAAGCCCACTGCTCTCATTAAGCCAAGGAAAAGAAAAAAACAAACAAACAAAAAAAAAAAAAACGGTCACTTCAGGTGTTTTTTAAAATATGTGAATCAGGAAATTGTCTATATACCAAACTGAATGATTATTGCTCTCAACTTCAAAAAAGCACTTTCTTTTTTTTTTTTAAATCTATGTATAACATGGATGCATAAAAACCTCATTTTATTTCAGTGTTTCAGTGGTAAACTCTGTTTAAAATAACAGATTATAATTAAAAATGTCTCCGGACCTTTACTGGTTATTGATTTTCTTTTTTCGGACCCTGCAGATTTTTAATTGGTTATCCCTATTCTAAGGATTTTAACAAGGCTTGCATTAGGGCTCATTGAACAGCAAATATGCCATTTTGAGCCCAACCAATGTTACACACCCTATTCAGGGACCTTAAGGACCAGCACCAAATACCCTTTTGAATCATTCTATGACCCCTCTAGGTTACTCTAAAAAAATAAAGCAAAGTTACATGACTTTACATTAAACACAGAAAAAAAATCAGCTTTCAATAAATTGAAATTAACAAAGTAATTATAAAAATGATTAAAAAAAATGAAAACTGTTACAGTGATTTTGACATACATATGGATATATATTAATAAACGAAACAAGTAAACAAGACTTCTGCAACTTCTGCGCCTGTTGGCAAGTGTTTTCTTTCTTCATCAAGGTATTTTCAGTTGTCTGGAACAGTTTGTTTTTTTAAATTATATATTTAAACAAAAAATCAAAATTTTATTTTACTAAATTATTTTCTTTAGCATTACTGGAGGGGAATGGTAATGGGAGGGAATGTAAACGTTCAAGCAAAACTGTATGTCAAAGAGTCATTTCTAGACTGTATTTTTATGTTTTCTATTTATAAAAGGCGTTCTTTGCTTGAACAATAATGGAACTAAATTCACTCCATATATACCAAACTTGCTTTAGTAGTTTACTCAGATGCACGGCTAATCAGGTTTAAAAAGTGTTTTTTCAAGTGTTTCTTCTAAAAAAAATGAACCCAGTAATAATACAGATTTTATTTAACTAATATGAACATCACAATGGAGAAACCGGATGCAGTGCTTAAGTGTGTTAGCACGTATGCTAATACTGAAAATTAGTCTTATTTGTCATTTTGTTAACACAAGTGTAAAACAAAAATAAATTTAGAACAGCTCTCTGGACAATTTCATTTTTTCAAGTGCAGCCTTGAAAAATAGTAAAAAACTCTAAAATTTTTTTTTTTTTTTTTAAGTATGAGAAATATTGAAAGTAAATTCCCTTCACTTGGGTGATTTTTTTGCACTAAAACCTGTAGTAGTATAATGTGTCACGTGTGCCATGCGTTGAACGCTTAAAAAAGATAAAAAAATAAAAAAAAAAGAAAAAATGGCGCAAGCCCGGCCTCTCTCCGTGGGGGTTACCATGGCAAATGCTGTCGACGTCATAATGGAAGGAACGCCGACTATAAGAGGTTCTGCTGCGGCGGTTCGCGAGCCTGTATGTGTGCTGAGAAGGAGAGACACGTGCTGAAGATTAAAATAAAACAAAAAAATAAGAAAAATACCGAATAAAAAAAAAAACGAGCCCCACGCAGGAGTAACATAAAATTTTATTTTCATAGATTTTTTTTTTATTATTGTATATATATATATATTTTTAAGGCGGAGTATTATTTAATTCTACTTGAAAAGAGGAAGAATAAATCTTCGCAGCCATGGGAAGAGGGGTGAGTATTATTTCCTTTTCAAATGGCGTGACCCAAGAAAAAAAAAAACGTTGGTTTTTAAACTTAAAAAAAAGAGAGAGAAAAACGATTCAAACAAGTGTGTAATTCGCTGAAGGTGGAGAGCAACGTGTTGGAAGATAAGCCGCTATTTTTGTCTCCAGATGCTTCCGTGTTTTCAGCCTCGGTGAACAGAGGAGATGCCTGCAGTAATGTGGAAGTTTTCTCCTTCAGATGAAGCAGAGATGCTCGGTGTCCGCTTACATAACGGCTGCCTGGGGCTGTCAAACTTAGCTGGACTCTTATTTTTTAAGTCTGACTAGAAGCTTTTCAAATAAAGGGGAGGAAAAACGGTGGAGGGAGGGAACTATTAGTGCTGCGGTGTTTTAAAAGTGTTGAAACTAAAAAAAAAAATGATTAAAGAAATCTATTGAAGCATATTTTTAAGTATTACTTTAGGAGGAATCGCTTTATTTTGAAATCAACTTCAGCTGGAGGCAGGATTTCTAAGAACATCACTGATTGGCTGCTTTAAAAAAACAAAACTAATGTTTAAATAAACAAAAATGACAGTTAAAGAGATGTAATGTTCTTTCTTTGAATGATTTATGTGGTTTTTCCCTGACTTGTAGTTTCCTTCACTTTTCTAGATTAGTTTACTTTGAATCCCATGCATAACATTTTTTTTTTTTTTTTTGGTAAATTTTCCATAAAGTTGAATTTTCCAGAGAGGGGGAATGAAGCTGCTGGCCTGCAGCCCCGCCCCACAGCTCTGCAGAACAGAAATCTTTGTTAGAAATTCAGCCCTGGTGGAAAGGATGGGGTTCGGGTTCAGGAAAGGGCTTCATCTTGACTTTCTTGGCCGCTGCTGCTTTTTTTTTCTTCCTCTCCCCTCTTCTCTGCTCCCATATGTGATAAAAGCCCTGCCTGCCCTGCCCCCATCCAACACCCACCCCCCTCTCTCCCCCTGCGCCTCCTTCTCTGCTCCCCCTCCTTTACATCTTCTGCTTCAACATGGATGAGGTGATGGTCCAGTTTAAGGAAAACTGATGAGACCTGCTGAGTTTATTGGGTGTAAAGGTATGAAAACGAGAAGCTCGGGGTGAAGATCATCTCCCCTTCCCTCTATCTAACCCCCACCACCTCAAAATCTAGACCTCCATCTTATTATGAATTTAAAAAGGGGTTGTTTTACCTCATCTCTTTCTCAGCGCAAGTCGATTTATAAACAAAACAAAAAGGAAACGCTAAAGGAAGCTGGAAGTGTGGGTAAAAATGGGAGATGTGAAGCATTGGAGTGAGGGGGGGGAGTTGAGGTACCAGTTGCCGCATTGCCAATGTTGAGAAACTTGAAAAGGGGAGCAAGACGCACCTTCTCTGCGCGTTGCGGATCAAAAGGCGTTGATTAAAGTTGGCTGTTTGGAGCAGAAGGAGCTGGACGTTCCTGTTAATCATTACTGTTTTTCTTCTGAGAAGGACATGGAGCTGAACGCTGATAAGATCGGGAACGCAGAGAAGAAATAAAGGGGCAGGGTGACACAAAAAACAGCCCTGAGGATGAGGGAACTGATGAGGCGTTTCCTGCAGAATAACTTGGGGAAAGAAACGATCGATCGTCCAAAAACACCCCAAAAAAACTACGATTTTAGATCGATGATCGATTTTTCGGATGTAGGGGTGTGCGATTATGTTTAAAAATGGGCTTCATCTTTACAACAGTTACATAAAAACTCTGATTTATATCACAAAACATCCCATATAACCACGTTTATTCATGTTCTTCAAATGGTCCAACATTGAAAAGAAATAAACTGAAATAAGAAAAATATTAACTTACCAATAAATTTATTTATTTATTTTTTTTACTTATTGCAGTTTATTGTTTAGACAATTAATCAAACTGATTTTGATCATTAATTTATCGGGATAACTGTTACAGGTCTGATAAATGCCCACCCCCTCGTTAAACGTGAAATCAATCTTATTTCCCTTCGTGAAGTTCTGAAAATCGGCCAATCCTCTGAACCAGAGCTGAACTGATGCAGGTTTATATTTAAGCCGATACCAATTATATTGACATCAAACCAGTATTTGCTGCCAATATTTTGGGCTGATCCTTGCTGCTGATTCCTTCCTACATTTGAATGATAAAAATTTGAATAGATAAACTTGTTTTTTATTATGAAAATTTATGTTCTGAAGAGGTTAAAGGTTATTGCTTGGCTGTTCTAAACCAGTTAGCAGAACTTGTGGAGCTAATGGAAACAGTTCGCAGAGCTTTTTGTTGGTGTTCGCCTGTTTAGTACTTTTGAAAAAAAGCAACTAAATAAAGGCTACGTTCACACTGCAGCCTGAAGTGACCCAAATCCGATTTTTTTTTTTTGGCCCATATGCCACCTGGATCTGATCTTTTCATGACAGTCTGAACAACACAGATCTGATTTTTTCCAATCCGACCCAGGCCACTTGGCTATGTGGTCCTGAATCCGATACGAATCTGATCTTTTCAAATGCGACCTGTGTCTGAACGGCCAGGTCGGATTCATCCAACCTGAACGTCATTAATACCCTACAAAGTTCACTATTCTGCGTCTTGCTATGCAGAAGCAGCAAGAAAAAAAACTACCATGGCGGAAAATGATGCAGAGAGCAGTATTTATGTTTAACCTTCTTCACTGAAAAAAAAATAGAGGTTGACAGAACTTAAATTTTCTAGGCAACGTGATGCATTTGGTTTTTTGAGTTTTCCTTACTTAAATTCACTGTGGTTGAGTTTACAAAGATTTTTGAGTTCTGCCAACTTAGGTTTTTGGAGTGTTACATAGAAATTTTGAGTTCT